GAATGTCGCAATTATAGAAGATGTGACGTTGACAAAAATGCATTCAAAAATCAAATGGACTTTCTAACGCACCTAGGCCTTACATTATTGGTGCGAGGAATGCAAAAGCCAATGTAAGTGTTGCTTGTGAAAATATAGCCTTGAAGCGCAGTTGCTCTTGGCAATAGCTAAACATTAAAAGCTTCCCCAAAGAGGGTTGCCTTTAGATGTCTTCTAAAAGACTGGTAGTTGTTTTTCTCTTTGACATCTGGTGGGAGGGCGTTCCACAGGGCAGGTGCCACTACCGAGAAGGCCCTCTGCCTGGTTCCCTGTAACTTGGCTTCTCGCAGTGAGAGAACCGCCAGAAGGCCCTCGGAGCTGGACCTCAGTGTCCGGGCAGAACGATGGGGGTGGAGACCCTCCTTCAGGTATACTGGACTGAGGCCATTTAGGGCTTTAAAGGTCAACACCAACACTTTGAATTGTGCTCGGAAACGTACTGGGAGCCAGTGTAGGTCTTTCAAGACCAGTGTTATGTAGTCTTGGCGGCCGCTCCCAGTCACCAGTCTAGCTGCCACATTGTGGATTCGTTGTAGTTTCCAGGTCACCTTCAAAGGTAGCCCCACGTAGAGTGCACTGCAGTAGTCCAAGCGGGAGATAACCAGAGCATGCACCACTCTGGCGAGGCAGTCTGCAGGCAGATAGGGTCTCAGCCTGCGTACCAGATGGAGCTGATAAATAGCTGCCCAGGACACAGAATTGACCTGTGCCTCCATGGACAGCTGTGAGCCCATAATGACTCCCAGGCTGCGCACCTGGTCCTTCAGGGGCACAGTTACCCCATTCAGGACCAGGGAGTCCTCCACACCTGCCCACCTCCTGTCCCCCAAAAACAGTGCTTCTGTCTTGTCAGGATTCAACATCAATCTGTTAGCCACCATTCATCTTCCAGCTGTCTCCAGACACTCACAAAGGACCTTCACCACCTTCACTGGTCCACTGAACAGACATAAATCCATCCAATATTGTCCCCTCCACACATCACTAGAGAAACGCAGATGGTGGAAGACAGCAGCCTTTGAATTCAGCATATTCTCAGTTTTGGAATACGCTTGGAAGATCTGTTAACGTAAACTGAGAATGCATGCTAGAGGAAACATTGGCAAAAGAGGATAAGCTGTCTTTCTTGCAACTTCTCTGCCTGCCACTAATCATCTGATTGTGGATCTCTTCGTAAGTTTGTGTTGAACTCCCAGTTGGGTCTGAACAATACTACTGGAAATGTGTTAAATCACATATCTAACAGACTTAATACAGAATAGAAAAACATAAGCATTTCTGGTATAACCCTCTAATTTTACTGGTGATTTAAAATATCAAAACAATGTTTGCTCTCCTTTTTTCGTCTTCAAACACAATGACATGATCCTTTTCTATGTGGGCTTTTTCACTACTCCCCAGAACGTGTGAACAGGTGTGAATTCAATAGTTGTGATAATAGCAGCTCTTGGGGGGTGTATTTGCTTTGGGAAACTCATACATGGGGAACAGGTTACATGCCATGACCCCCGTGCAAATCAGACAATCTGTGACTGCTTTTCAGAAAAGTATATCAGAAGATCCAGGCACAGATGTTAGATGCATTTGGCCCTCACTGTAAGACTTCAAAGGTTTAAGTAAGAAAGAATTAGGTGCGAAAGGAGGCAATTTGCTACAGGTTGTCCCTGCGAGCCTGAAGTGTGTGTTTCTGTGATTTTAGAAGTCAATGCACTAGTTGTTCGTTGACAGTGGAATTATAGGAGTCGCCGTTTGCCTAAAGCAGAAATATAAAATTATTCCTAACTGAGCATCAAAACTGTAGACCCAAGGGGCTATGAAATGAGGTTCAGCAATAACGAAAGAGGAATAGTCTGGCAAACGTGGTTGTGTTGGAGATTTGGAAGAATGGCAAGCGGTATTATGGGGAGTCTGTAAAGATGGGAGATTGTGAAAGGCAGTTCCAGCTCTCATTCATAGAAAGATTCAGCCTTCTGTTTTGTTATTTGGGCATGCACATATTTGTATGCAAGATAGGGCCAAGTTTAGAAACCATCTAAGCTAGTGACAACCCCCGTATTTTGTGATTATGATTTCCGTATGCCAATTCTGCTTCACGTGAAGCTCTTCCTTTTGAGTCCTTAACCTATCACAAATCAGCTTAATCTGAAGGACCTAAATTCTAATACTAAGAGCTTGAAAAGCTTGTTTCTGTCCACTGCAGCCAACCACTCAGTTCATAATTTCTGGTAAACATTCTACTCACTCATGTTCAGTTTAATTGTGCTGTGGTGATCCTGAAACATGGGACAAAGCAATCTAGAGGCTTTTGGAAAACTGTGACACAACCGCTTCCCCCAAGTCATGATGGGAAAGATCAACAGTTGGAAGAATGAAGGACACAACACCATTTACGTTGGGACAACATCATGGGGGGGGGGGAGAATTACCATACTCAGGAAGAACCATGAATCCAATAGGAGTACCTCACTTGAAACTTTATAAAGTACTTAATATATTAACATGAATTGAAACCATAAGATGGTAGCCGTTGTAGAAGGGATTATTATCTTGAAGGGAATGTAATTGAAATTATTAAGCTCTTGGAACACAGAAAATAAAACAAAGAAAGAGGAAGCCATCAAATCTAGCACATGAGGAGGCCACTTTAACTAAATTGTAGAATTTGGTATATAAACAATTGGTTTTAATGATTGTATTCATTGGATAAAATTGGCATCGCTATAACAAGGCTGTTATTGGAAAAGCAATAAAAATATTTATTCTTAAAGAGAGATTTTTTGCCCTCCACAAATCATGGCACCACACCTTGTGTAAGTAACCCGTTCATTCCCAGATTTAGGGTTGAAATAATGGCCAGACGAGGCTCTTTGGGTTTGGTGGACTATGTCATCTATACAACGCAACAGAAAGAACTCACATCAGCTGTCACGGCTGTCTTTGGCATTAGTGAGACAACAGCTGATTGTGTGTGTTATGTACTGAAGTTCTCACCCTGGGCCAGCAGGGGGATACTTTTCACTCAGGTCCACATATGCAAATAAGGGATCGAAAGTGATGTTCAGTGATTGGATAGTTACAGAAAATGGTTACTGTTGCGTTCTAGTGGAGCTCTATATAAGCAGGCTGGCTGAACCAGTTCAGTTCTTATTCTGTGAATAAACAAGAGCTGTTTGAAGAATCGCTGTGTCGTCTGATATGTTCACCTACAACTTAACAGTGTGAGAGAGGTTCTGCTACCGATACGCAGCCAAAGTATTCAACTTAACCAATTCGCCAAAGTATTCCAAGTACCAGCAATTTAGCCACATTATTATTTAGAGTTCTATGGTGGTGGAAGTGGCAATGTCAGGTCGAGGACACTACTGAAAGCCCATAGGTGTACATTTAGGCAGACTTATTAGGGTGGCGTTGTGGGTTAAACCACAGAGCCTAGGGCTTGCCGATCAAAAGGTCGGCGGTTCGAATCCCCACGACGGGGTGAGCTCCCGTTGCTTGGTCCCTGCTCCTGCCAACCTAGCAGTTCGAAAGCACATCAAAATACAAGTAGATAAATAGGTATCACTCTGGCGGGAAGGTAAACGGCGTTTCCGTGCACTGCTCTGGTTCGCCAGAAGCGGCTTAGTCATGCTGGCCACATGACCCAGAAGCTGTATGCCGGCTCCCTTGGCCAATAAAGCAAGATGAGCGCCGCAACCCGAGTCGGCCACGACTGGACCTAATGGTCAGGGGTCCCTTTATCTTTATTAGGGTGCCACTTGTTTTCCATAAACCGGGGCTATGGCAACCAAAAGCAATGCTCATCGCCAGAACAGTAAAAAAGTCTAAGGCAGACACTGCTGCATCTACAAGCCTGATTTGCCTCTTGAAGAAGCAGGGGCAGGTTATACCAAACTTACGGATGAGCAGAGATAGCTAAGTGCAAGGTTTGCTTCCTAGGCTGAGTTGTGCCCCAAAACAGCGCATTGCATAAATGTGTTCAGAGGTTGTTATGCCACCCATATTTGGGTCCTGTTCCAGTGATGACACACACACACACACACAAAAATGAAGGCACTTTATGAACAAAATCCATTGGGTTCCACACTAGGAGAACTTAAAAATGGAAAGCGTAACACTTGTGGTCAACAAAAGAAGTTTAAAGACTGTCTGAAGGCAAATCTTTAAAAATGTAGTATAAACACCAACAATTGGGAAACACTGGCCTGCGAGCGCTCCAACTGGAGAACAGCCTTTACCAAAGGTGTCATGGGCTTTGAAGACACTCAAACTCGGGACGCAAGGGAGAAACGTGCTAGGAGGAAGGCACGCTTGGCAAATCCACACCGTGATCAACTCCTGCCCCCCGTGATCAACCCTATGTCCCCTCTGTGGAAGGACGTGTGGGTCCAGAATTGGCCTCCACAGCCACTTACGGATTCATTGTTAAAACCGTGTTTATGGAAGACAATCTTACTCGGCTCTGAGGCATCATCGAAGAAGACACTAGGAGAACCTTTTTGCCCTTTGAGACGTAAATGTTTGCTTGTAGAGTTGTTGGCTCCCATGGCTACTTCATTCCAGTTATGGTGAGCTGAGCTTGGTATTGTTAACAGTTTTCTATCAGGCCAATGAATAAAACCACAGATGAAGACTACGTCAAAAAGAGTGCCGTGAGATGAACAGTGGCGCCGATGGCCTTTTGTCTTTGAAGACTTTAATGTATTTTTTTATGGGTTCTCCTGAATGACATGTGGAGCATGCTGTTAGTCTAACATGGCGTTGGAAATAATATTCACTTTATAGACTATGGGCCACTCTCATTCCCACCCCCACACCCCCTGCTCATTCAAATTGGGCTATAAAGCATGATTTAATTCTCCAGAAATCATTTAGCGTAGTGACAACACAGGAGGGGGGCGGGCAGAAGATTAAAAGGCACAAGCAGTCATTTTCTTTCACTTTTTTCCTAATACTTTATATTATTCTGTGTTATGCAGTTTAATGAAATCACTGAAAACAGCTAGAAAATATTATACCAATTTCTGTACACTTTACACCTCTATTCTACACCTTCCCACGATACACATTTTAGCTTCAGGAGAAATGTACAGCATAGAAATTTTTAAAAAATACATTCCGTGTCCACACACACTCAGTTCCAAGAAGTACATTCTGTAAATCAAATTTAATCTATATTACTAATCAATTTGTTTTTATTGCTGGGACATAGTTGGATGCTGCCATTCTTAGGTATAGCAACGTCTGAGGCAGGAAGAATACCAACACTGACAAGGCATTAAGTAGTTAAAAATAAAAATATTTTGGCTTTTGTGAATTATTCTTACCACTTTATTTGGCTGAGATCTTATCGTGTGCATTGAGGTTGTAATGGCTCCTCTTGCTCTGTGCTAGGAATAGGACTATGGATGCTTCCAGGGTGTCACTATTTTGGGGCCGAGATTCAATCATATACCTGCAAATTCGGGTTGTGCAATTAAAGTTGATTTGGCGATTTTGCGCAATAAACTCCCCTCCCCTCAGACTGGACTTTTTGCAGTAAGGAAAGTGATGGGGAAATTCAGTGTGGAATAGCCAACTGCCTGATGCAATCTTGTACAACTTCCCCACAAACAAATGAGAATGAATGCTCCGTGAAATCACCAACATCGTCTAACCTCCCTGCAAAGTTATGCAAACAAATCAATAAAAAGGTTGTCTGGTAGAGACCTATCAGTGACATTTGTCTTCCATGAAATACACCCTTCTCTTGGATAAGGAGAAAGTAGAAACTGCCTTCTCCGTGTTGGTTGGAGGGCAACAGTTATCCTCATCTTGACCCTACAATTTTTTCTGCATACACAGAAAACATCCCGTCTTTGCGTCAATGGACAGAGACCTAATTTTTGCCCTTGAGCATTTCTGGTTCTAGAAAGAATCACTTCCTCCTTTGAGTTCTTCCCTTATCACATCTTTGAAACGGTACCCTCAAACATTTTACCTAATTTCTATGAGGCGGTTTAAAAACAAAACGAGGAAATACGTTAAATGGGGTTTCCCTTTAAAAAGCAGACTCTTCTGACCCACCCAAACTCAGTGCAACCAGAAATGTACTTATCATTTCTGATATATCACATTTTAAAGTTTAAAACATTCTGATTTCCCTCGAGATATACGTCATGCAAAGTTGCTGTTTATTAAAGTAAGTTATAGAAGAAGCCGTAACCTTGGTTGTTGTTTTTGTGTGACGGGCGCTACAGACACATGCCAAATCTGTGTTGCATTGCCGCTTGCATTGCACTGTACAATTCACAAATCTGACATCTTTAAAAAGCAGCAGTTACTTTTAACGGCAGGCTGTCTATATTTATGCCACTAGCAGTTGGTTGAAGGAACATTTTTGCTTCCCCTGCTGCTTTCAGCCAAACTTGCCACTTAGAGTTATCTGTCTTTTGCATATTGCTTTTCTGAAGCATAGATTTTGGTGCACATAGTAGCATACAGGTGTGTTGCCATAGAAATAGAAGCCTCCATTTTGCCTCTGTGAAACGAGTTCGGCAAAAGCTAGAGCTTGAATAAAGGAAGCAAAGAATAATAAACAAAGCTATACATGGTGACAAAATAATAATAATAATATAAAATTAAACCAGAAGGATTTCTACTGCATATACAGATGTCTGGCACAGAACTGCAGGTTATATATACATCAGCGCAGATGATATTTCAACAATTTACATATATTACACTGGGCTCAGGGTTCAAAATACTTCAAGTCTTTTTGCTGGCTTAAGAAGGAAACGAGGCTAAAAGAACAAGTCATAGTTATCAGATGCACCGAGATTCTTTCAGACAGTTGACAGAATGAGGTACATCGAAAAAGTGCAAGATCAGAGAGCCTACTTGGCAGTGCTGTGTGTTTGTATGCATGCAAAAACTTCCTTTTCATGCATTATAGCAAGCAGGGTTTTTTTTCACATTTTTCTTTCAGTATTATTAATCAATATGTCATGGTAAAACGAATGCATACCTGTCCATGAAATACTGAGAAATGCATTCAAGTAAAATTTCTGCACTTAGCTGTATCATGAAGTATTACTATACTTTTGTTAATATTTCGGGGGGGCGGGGCGGGGGGGGGCGGATATTCTATTTACGACACACACCGGACAAGCTATATTGTTATGCGTTTAAAGTTCCTGTGCTTATGTAGGTAACCTGGGCAAGGCAGAGAGAGGGCAGGAGGGGAGAGGGTGGTCCGTCCTGAACTCCTAGGCTGCCGAGCAAATGTACGCGCCTTTAGAGCAGTCCGCCGTAACCTCCTGCGTTTAGCACCGTCACTCTACAAGCATGTCAGGGAAAAAGAAGGGTGCCTTTGTTTGTACATCTGTACAAAGCAAATGAAGAGGGGTGGGATGAAATGATGGAACGGGGGGAAAAAATAAAACAAAATTTGCAACCTGCAAATAAACAATGGCGAAACTCCCACAAAACACAGGCAGAAAAGATTTTGGGGAGGAACGAAAAACGTGGGGCGGGTTTTATTATTATTATTCTTATTCTTCGCGCAGCTGCAGGCAGTAGCGGTGGAAGCGTAGCTGGAAAAACATTCGCTCTAGAATAGAATGTGTCATCCCAGGCAGTGTGTAGTCTTCGGCGACACCCACATGCTTGAATCCCAAAGACTCGTACAACTTGTGAGCCGCCACCTTCACCGCCGTGGTTCCCAGTACAATCGACGAGTAGTTATTGACCATGGCAAACTCAACCACCTTCCGACCCAGAGCTTTGGCGATCCCTTTTCCGCGGTATTTGGAGTCGACCGACATGCGGCGCAGCTCCACCGTGTTGTCTTCCTCGTTGCCCCTGGCAGCCACGATGCCCACCACGTTGCCGTTCAACACAGCCACCCAGAAGCAGGAACCTGCAGGTACAAAGCAACATGTGAATCTGGAAAACAAAGGACAAAAGGCTTCTTCAAATACACATCTCTGGGGTTTATCGGAAGTTTTCCATATTTCTTTCCAAGCTCACAGACGGACAGTCAATACGAAACAGTTCACCCTGGAGAGCAAAAACCAAGCAGAGGCGGCACTTTTCTAGAAGGTTCCCTCTAACATTTCTGCGCTTGCGTTCCTGCAAGCTCCATCAGTGGTTCTTGATATCTATTGTAAAAAACAACTGTGATCCTGAAGAACCAGAAAATTGGCTGTGTGACTCTCATCACCTGAGAATCTTATGAATCCCTCTACAGTGGTACCTTGGTTCTCAAACGCCTTGGTACTCAAACGCCTTGGTTCCCAAATGCTGAAAACCCAGAAGTAAGTGTTCCAGTTGTCGAACGTTTTTTGGAAGCCGAACGTCCGATGTGGCTGTCAGCTACTGTTTCCAGGGCGCCTGCACCAATCAGAAGCTGTGCCTTGGTTTTCAAACATTTCAGAAGTCAAACAGACTTCTGGAACAGATTAAGTTTGGCGCTTTTGTTTTTGCTATTTATTTTGCATTTTTGAGGCTTTTTCGGTTAATTCGTTTTTGTGGCCCTGCGGAACCCAGTTCAGCTACTGATTGATTGTATGACTGCGGAAATGGATAAAAGCCCCCCATCCAAACAACGACTATCATCAGTGCGGGTAATAAATAAAAAAAATCTTAATTTTGATCATCTACAATACTGTCTTATTTATTTTATAGTACAGTACATTGATTATTGCTTTCATTTTATGGATCAATGGTCTCGTTAGACAGTAAAATTCATGTTAAAATGCTGTTTTAGGGGTTGTTTTTAAAAGTCTGGAACAGATTAATCCGTTTTGCATTACTTGCTATGAGAAAGCGCGCCTTGGTTTTGGAACAGACTTCCAGAACGGATTAAGTTTGAGAACCAAGGTATCACTGTATATTGCAGTTATTTCCTCAATACGGTACAGTAGAGCCTCAACCTTTTTCTAGCGAGGCCTGATGAATGTCTTACTCACATAATGCAGAGGGGGCTTGTGGCTGGAATGATGGACCCGGCAGGCCAGGAAAATGTTATTTTCCCGTCCAGTGGAGTTTGCAATGCTCCCATTTTTCTCATCTTCAGCTAAGAGTGTAAGATGACAGCCCTCCTCCGCAATACACCCTCATCGTCTGTTTCTATTTAGCTGTTATGAACGACAGACCTCCCTTCCATTAATTTGCTCCTGTTCCTCATTTGTAATGAGACAACCAATTTGTTTTTTGCCAAACTGGCATCAAAAGCGAGCCATCCTTTTGGGCAGACCGGCCGGGGCCCTTGTTTGTTTTTCCTCATCCAAACGTTCGCTTAACATAGGATGAAACCAGTCACTTGGTCATCACCAGTTGCCTTTCCTGTCCTGCAAACTGGTGAGGAATATCTCACCATACTTCTGCAATAATCAGAAATCTAGGAGAGCAAAAGGAAGATCGGTACACCTTAGCAGGATGATACAGATGGCACCAAGCGGTAAATTACAAATTTCCATGTACACCATGGCAAAAACCACAAGGTATGTTTTCCTTCTGCTATCATGTACATACAGCACAGTTTGAATTTCTTTTTAAGCTTTGAGGTTTGTTTGCTTTTTCCTAGAAGTTACTTTGGAACTCAGCTAATGAATGATGCAATTTTTTTATATTTCTTAAGCGCTTCTGGGTCTGCTTCAGAAACTAATATACTTATACTGATGTTCACTCAAAAGTAAGTCTCATTAATCAACAGGACTTGCTCCCAGGTAAGTGGGGATAGCATTGCAACCTAAATATTTTGAGAGCTGTGAGTGAACATGACCCTCTGATATCACTCCACGATTTTATTTTTTGTCTTAGAACAGATTTGAAAGGCAGGGGGAAAAGTTGTCATCCGTTTCTCGCTATCTTGTGCCGTAGTAATCCAGCGCTTCTCACCGTCACAGCCCAAGATTTGAGGCTAGGCCTTGAAATAATATTCACAGGAACTAGAAATGCGTGTACATTTAAATATTATTTCTGCTAAATCAGAAGGCAAACATTACTGGTAATAATATTCGCAAACAAATGAATGCATTCTTAAAGAGTGAAACACCCCTGTGAAGTTTAACCTTGCTTCTTCTCTCTCCTTGCAAGCGGTTTGATGCACTTTATTATAGAGGTTCCAAATCTATAAGGCCCTGGACCTTATAAAACTCTCCGAGGTCACTGATACATTACACATTGTCCCCCACATCTCAGCACACAATTCAGCCAGTCCATGCCCTTAACGGAGCAAAGAGCATAGCTTGCAAATGGTTCTCTCTCAGTGTTAAGTTGTGGGTGAACATATCAGACAACACAGCGATTCTTCAAACAGCTCTTATTTATTCACAGGCCGGAACAGAACTGAACCGAAGGGTTCAGTCAGCCTGCTTATATAGAGCTCCACTACAACCTAACTGTAACAATTTTCTAAAACTATCCAATCACTGAACGTCACTTTCGATCCCTTATTTGCATAACTATCTACAGTATCCCCCTACTGGCCCAGGGTGAGAACTTCAGTACATAACACTCAGGATCGGTTCCCACATGGTAACGATAAAAAAGGACAGAAGCTAAAATAAAAATAAAGCTTTGTGTGTTCGTAGTTCATTGGGATTGCTTGAGCAGGGAAAACAGCGACGGGGTCAGCATCCTGCATCCTGAGGCAGCTGCTGGGCCACAAAACCTTAACCCGCCCCCCAAATGATGTGCAAAAACTATAAAGCGGGAAGTGTTTTATGAGAGACAATGTACGGTATCGGATCATTACGGTTCGTGTGCTGAGGACAAGCTGTGATAAGAATTTTATGGTCTTAGATATATGGTAATGTTCATAAGTGTACCAACCAAGCACATACATAGATCAGCACAGGAAGACAGACCTGGAACCATTTTGATTCCTAAACTGAGCAAATGTTTTCTCTGAATGGTCAAAATGGAAAAGCCTCCCCAATGTCTTTTCCTTCACAAATCCTGTCTTAAGGGTATGTCTGTGTTTGAATAGGGTGTGAGCCTGTGACCTGGCCCAGGAACTAAGTATTTATCACTACAAAAGAATGGCCGGGCTCCCCAGGCAATCCAATCAAGTAACCTGCCAGACAGGAGATAAACAACAACAGGATAAAAACAATATTCAAATTTCTGTTTCAGACCGCCTTTTCTGTGATGTAGGTGTGATGTATCTGAGAGGTGGTCGTAGGTTACACCCCTTCTGTGATGTATGCATGATGTTTCTGGGTGTGGTCTTGATCTACAGGGTGGCAATTTCAAAAGTCTTTATAAGGCATTGCACACCATTTTTCTGGGTTCCTCCTCCTCTCCTGCATGTGAGGGGAGCACCCTGTTGCAACAGATCAATAAAGATCAGGCTTACTAGCTGCTTTGCTTCTCAATATTCTCTGGTTGGCCTCTGTTATCTTCTCCTACCAATAGGGAACCTATGTAAGGACTCTATATGGGCTCTTGGATACCCCATAAGGGAAAGGGCAATTTTTATTTACAACAAAGCAAGGCCTGTCTTGCACATGGAAAGTACAGCTCTCAAACACTAGAGCAAAATGTGGCTTTCTGGAGCGGTGTCATAGGCTGACTGAGTTAGTTATTTCTATGCTAACTCCGATTGCTTCGTTAGGCATTTGCATTTGTATATTTGTGGGAGATTTTCTGGTGTTTGCCTGTTTTAGTCTTCTGCTTGCAGCAGCCAAACATATACCGTGTTTTTCGCTCTATAAGACGCACCAGACCACAAGACGCACCTAGTTTTTGGAGGAGGAAAACAAGAAAAAAAATATTCTGAATCTCAGAAGCCAGAACAGCAAGAGGGATCGCTGCGCGGTGAAAGCAGCAATCCCTCTTGCTGTTCTGGCTTCTGTGATAGCTGCGCAGCCTGCATTCGCTCCATAAGACGCAGACACATTTCCCCTTACTTTTTAGGAAGGAAAAAGTGAGTCTTATAGAGCAAAAAATACGGTATATTCTGAGCTTTTACAGTTTCTTTGCTTGTTTTTCCAGGACACGGGAAGTCTTAGCAAACCGTTATCTAAAGATAATACTAGATTCACAATAACTGGAGGATCTGGTGCCTTCTTTGCCTGGGGCCGCCTTGACTAGTAGGTTTCAAAGGGAATGGAAGTGCAGGAAAATCCAGACTCACAAAGAACCAGTAACTAAAAGTAATATCTGGGAAAATGAGACGGATTAAATTGCATACAGCATTCGCTTTGGTCCCCTGCCGTTTCTCAGCTCGTCATATGGAATAGCCTGCTTCATATATGCTTGACACTGATGGAGATGTTATAGTTTTCATACTACATCAAAATTGTATTTGTTTTCCTATAGATCTGATGGTTTCTTTTGTTTATATTTTATTTTATTGCCTGCTCCTCAGAAACTGGCAAAACCAAAGAGATGTTCCATTGGGAGCTGCAATTTCATTTTTGCATGCTGATGATTTTTTTAAACAGATGGCGTAATGAAAACACATATGTGGCTATTTTGGCATTCTGAAATCTTTGTTCTGGTATTTTTAACGATCTACCCTCAATTTAAAATTAAATATATATATAATTTCCCCCCCCCGACTCTACAATTCTATGATTCCACATATCTGTTTTGCCCTTTTCACTGAGGGAGGATGTAAATAAGCTAGCCGTCTTGCAAATGAACTCCAAGTCTTACATACTACAGATTTTATAAAAATCACAGAGAGATTCTATAGGACTTTAGTGTTTGGTTTTTCTATACATTTCCAGGTAAGGACTGTTAAAAGCACAATCACGAGTTACCTATCAAAGGCAGGTTGAAACCGACAGCATCCAGGTGTATTGAAAGCTACAGAATGAACCAACTTATGACAATTTCCCCCCCAAAAAGGGGAAGGAGTTGCCTGGGCAATAAACATTTTAAGCAGAGGCCACAGGAAAGCCTGTC